AAAAGAAGTGCCATCTCTTTTACATTTTTTAATTGTAAATTTTATACTGTAGTCTACTTATTTTTTATCAAGACTTCGATTGTACCATCTACCATGCAGTCCAGTCCAGACATCAAAAAAAAGAAAGTGCATCTCTTTTACATTCTTCAATTGATTTTAATTGTAAATTTTATACTGTAGTCTGATTATTTTTTTATCAAGACCTCCCAAGCCAACCTACAACTGTTTATATAGAGAGTAATAGTAGATGCATTCCAGTTAGCCCTATCATGTGATCAGTGCTATCTCTAGGCCACAATAACCAGCAAGGGGTGGAAAGAGAGAGCACTGTCTCCTATAGAGAGAAGCTATACCATGCTCATTTCAAAAGGTAGAAACAACTATCTATAGAGTTATGACAATTGACAATTGTTTATATACTATCAGCCTTAGAAAAGACAAACAACAGTGTCTACATGTTCAATTTGGCTTTCCTTCTCCTCCTCCTATCAGGAGATGTTGAGCTAAATCCTGGCCCTCTAACAGGTAAACAGACTGACCTTTATTAATACACCATCAATGACTGTTATACTATTGTGTAGGCCAGGATCCAAGAGATATATTACAGGAAAAATCCTTTTCTCTTTCACAAGCAATTTCAAATAACCTTGTTCAAGTTGCTGGAATACTACATAAAAAGAAACTAATACCACAACAGGCAAAAGCTAATGTATCAATATTAGGTGTAGAGGATTATGAAAAGGCTAGCAGACTGGTGGGTGTGTTGGAGATGCAACTGAGTGCCTCCGATGGTAATCGACAGAAGTATTTGATTGATGTCTGCAATGCGTTGAAGGAGCTAAACAATGCAAAACTAACAGAACATGCTAATGCAATGTTAAAGGAGTTAGGAATTAGCAGTGGTAGTACTCAACAAGGTTAGGTAGCACATAAATATACATTTACACTTGTAATTGTTATTTGAATTACAGTGCAAAGTTCTCCAATGCCTACTGTGCCTAACACTAGTGGTGAAATTGAAGAAACAGATCATCCAAATGGAGGCCGAGGAGCCACAGCAACACAATCCAGTAAGAAATAATAACAATGCATATTTTATAAATGGGAATAATATAATTCTTATCATTATAATATAGTTGTTGTACCTGATCCACCAGATGTTAAAAGTGAATGTCCTCCAATGGCAAAAATTAAACCAAAAAATTGTACACATACCCCAGAGCTTACAGCTGATGTCAATATAATCCTTGTTACTGCTACTGACACAGAATACCGTGCTGTTATGGGGACTGGTACACGGATAGAAGGGGATGGAGAAAAATACACACAAGTCGAGTTGGATGATGATGTTACGTTTAATCTAGTGATGTACGGATCGTATAAAGTCGCTGTAATAAAGACTGGTCAGGGACCAGGAAGAACAGAAGCTATGCTCGAAAACTTACAGAAAGTAATTAATGCTCAATACGTGATTGCAGTTGGAATATGCTACAGGAATGAAAGAAGGTAAAACAAAGCATTGGTGACATAATCGTTGCAGAAAGCATCATGGATACATCAAGCAGACGTGCTTC